ACAAGGAAACGCTATTTGTTTGAGGAGTAACAAAACTTTCGTTTTTCGTCCTTGTAGTGTAGAGAAATTAGCGTAAATGATGAATAATTCGCCATATATTTTACAGAGGTTTGTTTCAGCGAAAGAAACTGAAGAATTCACATCCTATTCTAAGGAAAAAACAATTCACGAACATGGAAGTATGTCTGGAGAGGAAGCGAGAACATTTTATGAAGTTGTTCTTTCTTCATCCAATTCTGATGCAGGAAGCGTTTTAGCGTCAAAGGATAACAAAACGGAAAAGAATAATTCAAGGCAAAAGGGAAATGGGTCATTGGCGAAATCAACCTACTCAAAACCAACTGAAAAGGATTTGAAATCCAAAAAGAATAGTGGTCACTCCAGATCCATACCTACTAAATTTCGTTCTACTTCTGATCACAGACTAGTAAACGATTTCTTAAAAAATGCTCAAGAGGGAAATTTAAGACGAGTCCAAGAACTGCTTTCCAATGATAGCGTAGACATAAATGTATGTGACCAATTTTCATGGACAGGATTGATGTGTGCATCTCACAATGGGCAGATTCACATTGTTAAATATTTACTTGAGAGCGGAGCTTTGTGGAGATCTTATGAAGACTCACAAGGAAGAACAGCTTTCGACCTTGCAAAAATTGCAGGACACCATGATATAGCAGAACTTCTCAGATCTTACAGTGGTCAGCGTAAAAGCCAACGCATAAAATCCTCTTATGAAGAGCATTCTGCTATCACAGCACAACCCAAATTTTGGTGCTCTGTATGCGAACAAGAGTTTACAGATCTGAAGGGTACACATGAAGGTTCAACTGTGCATTTGTTCAATATACAACGCAAGCCTCAAAAAACATTCTATTATATTCCAGAAGGCAATGTAGGGTATCAATTGATGCTAAAGTCTGGCTGGAATGAAGATCGAGGTAAACTTAATTCTCACGTTTTCTTTAAATCCACAGTACTAGTTTCATACTGAATTAAGGGCAGGAAGTACTGTCATTTCCCCTTCTAAACTGCCAGGAAATTTGTTTAAGGCAAAACTCATCAAGGAAATTATGCTAACATAAACACAACTTAGAACACATACCTGTGTTACTGTGGCAACTTGACAAGCAGCATTGCTCCAAGCAAGACGTTTTTGAAAGTTGCCATTTGGCACACCACCACTGGAAATTCAAATTTTGTCACAATTGCTTATTAAAGGAAAATGATGAACAATTTATATTATTGCATGCCAATGGTAGCAGCTTCACTGCTGCACACAAATTTTAAGATTGGTGATCATTTCCTTTGTTCTTGTGACCCTTGATGTTTGATTCCAGGGTGATCTTGTCAGGAGAAATTAGAAGCTAATCATTCTCAGGGATCAAAGGATTAAAATTATGAAGATTTTCTTTACTCTCTTACAACAAAAAGAGCTGTAGCATGGAGAACTGTCCACGAGAAATAGACACAGGTCTAGTCACTTCATGCTACAGAAATCAGTGATAAGCAATGATAGTTACAGCTCAAAAAGATTTAATCTTATAATCAATTTTTGGATCAATATCAGTATTTGGGCAACTTCCCACCTACCCCTCCCCTAACCCAACATTAACCCTACCTTGTTATCAATAGACTGTTGTTGGGTTAGGGGAGGGGTAGGTGGGCAGTTGCCCAGATACTGATATTGATCCCAATTTTTTTTAAAATTCTGTTTATCACAGGTTTAGGCCCAGCTGGTGTTGGAAGAAAATACCCAGTGAAAACAGTTCTCAAGAGAGATCGATTAGGATTTGGTAATAAGGGATGTCAACCAGCAAGAGTGACACACTTTGGTCCACATGATCACAGTTCTGTGAAGAGGAGAAAATCAATCACCAAGAAGGAAAAGAACAGAGGAACAATGAAAAAGACTTGTAGGAGGGAAAGGGTGGCTAAAGAGAAGAAGGAAAAGAATTGGGAAAGAAATATGAGGATATACATGAACACTGAATAAAATTTATCATCTAAAGCTTTTATTGTGGTAATGATAGGGAACAAATTGGCAATGTTAACAGCTATTCTTTATATAAAATACTGAGAAGATCAATACCATATAACTACGATAAGAATATAAATAATCTAACTCAACTTTACTATGTTACAATGACTAGTTTTTTCATATTTAAATAATGGTTACCTTATTTAAAACTAAACAGAATAACTGGATGGTTAAAAAACAATTTCATTTGTTCTGAGTACACTCCTTTGTTTGTGATTGATAACTATTTGTACTTTGTGAACTACAAACACCTTGTATGCCCCCCCCTTTTATTGTAAAGCCCTCTCTCCCTTTAAGAAATTCAGGTTTTTAATAAGCCTACCTCTCCCCCTGTTTTGAAATTCAGGTTTCTCATAAGCCCCCCCTCCCCTGTTTTGAAGTTCAAGTTTTTGATAAGGCCCCTTCCCCTCCCCCTGTTTTGAAATTTAGGGCCCAGTTGCATAAAGGGCAGATAATGCTATCCAACAAATAAATCTCTATCCAGTGTATCAACGACTACAAAATGTATGCTGCACATGATAATGATCCTAAAAAGAAGAATAAAGAAGCTCTGTAATAAAATGGGAAAATTTCAACTGTAGCTATGGAGAGGCAGTATTTGTGAAAGTTTTCAAATACCAGTCTGGGAGGACACAGTGCAGTTCATCAGACTTCTCTGTAACTGTCACTTCTTCAAATGGCTCTCTCCAGGAGAACATGTACATCACCCTTGGTCCACTTTTTATAACCACTGTCTTCACCCAGTCAAGAAATCTGTCAAGAAAGTTCAAACAAATGGAAGAATCCCAGAGATCCTCCTCATCTCGTGCAAGTCTAGGTATGGCCAGAGTGTTGTATGTTTGCAATTCTTTCACATGGCCACTGTGATCCCTGTAGCCACAAATGATTTTTGGCACACCAGCCAAATAAGACTGCGCCCACCACTTGAGCAGTTTGAAGCGTTTGAAGGTGTAGTGGTGGTGGTGGTTGTGAGGTTTCAAGGAGGTTTTCAATTCAATATAATTTGCTGGGGCTTCTTCATTATCCTACAAGAAAACATGGAATTTAAATTTTAAGCTGTGATGTAATTATTAACCCTTTAACCCCTAAGAATGATTAGTAGCTAATTTCTCCTTACAATATCATCCCTGAGGAATAAAGGAAATGATCCCCAACTAAAGAAGCTCTCGATTGTTAAACAAATTCTCCTTGTCAGCACCTTGGGAAATGTGTAGAGAGCAGTATGGAGAATATGAATAGCTATGTTAGGGTGTAAAGGGTTGATCAGATTCCTTTGCAAGAATGAAGAACCCACTAAAATTTGCCTCCCTCCTAACATGTGGCTTCATAGTTAAGTTAGTAATGGCACCCAACGGGTATCTGGGAGGCACAGATTCCCTTTCTGTCAAAGCCTTAATTCTTTTTCAGGCTTCCTCTCTGTAATTTTTCAAATTGGAGCTTACTCGCAAAGATCATTTCTTTACAGAATCTGAAAGTCTGAGGTTTGGTTCCTCATGGGTACTCAGATTTTTTTCTTTGTCCCATGCTTGTAAAAAGACAGAAAAAACATCTTTCTCTATTTCTTTACTTGGTTGTATGTTACACAACTAAGATATCATCGACAGGGTTGTTATTAGAATCCAGTAGGCAGTGGAAACCTGCTGGCTGTCAGACCATTTGGTCCCTGAGCTACTTGGTGAATTGTGAGCAAAGACAGAAAATAAGTATTTTTTAACTGATTTCAACATAAAAGTCTGGCTAAACAGAATTACTCAAATATGCCCCAGAATGCTGCAATTCATGTTTTAAAGGTTTCAATTTTTTCCAGCAGAGTAAGCCTCCCCAACCCCCTCCAGGAGGGTGTGTTACAAACATGCTTACTGAGAAAGCACACTGAGTTCAGATCATGCATTTAGTACTAACATTTTCACAAAAACCCTGCACTAAAACAAAACATACCTTGGTGCAGCAGTCCACTTCAGCACCAAAAACCAATGAGTGTTTATTAAGCCTAGCCCTGATTACAGTGACAAATTCCTCACTATCATTAATAGCATGGCTTTCCTTGGCTTTTTCCTCATTTTTATTATGATGACTTTTGTCTACCAGGGATGTAACATAGCTTTCAAAGTTATGACCCCAGTAGCACATCTCTTTGTGTCTTTCTTCCATATTCTCCCTCTTGTCCTTGTTTTCCTCAGTTTCTATCTCCATAATGTAGATTGTTCCATTGTGTAGCACAGCTGCCATTTGCCAAGATTCTCTTGTTTCATAGGGTGTGCACATTATCTTTGTCAAGAGCCCCCTCCATGTTATGAAATCTGTGTGTAAGCTGAAAAAATAGGAAGATGTATTTTTATCTGATGCCCTAGATACCAAACTTTTCACTGGAAAAAATGAATTTTGAATCACGACCAAAACAAGTTCCTTGAATGAAAGTCTGAGGTCTGAAAATGCAAAATTGTTGTGTTCCAAAAGAAATTTGATTCACAAATCATCCAGTGATCAGAAAACAATTGCCTTACACTATGATAATTTATCATATAATTTGAGGGTTAATGAAGCAAGCTAAGTCAATTTGCTTTTGATAAATTCTTTGTAATTACAATATTTGGTAAATTAACACCCAAAGCCAAGTCAGTAGTAAAGTTTGGCTTCTTGGTGACATTAAATACTCCGCTTTTTATCTACACCCACCCCCCTGAGGAATCCTAAAGGTCAATTTTCTTTTGGCACCAGTAAGAAAATAAAATCCTCTTGTGGAAAAAGTGTAGACCCCCTTGCAAAAAAAAAAAAAACAGTCGTACCTGGCTACTTGGAGTAGTGCGATTTCCGCATATCTCCAAATTTCATTACACATAAAGTTCTTGGACAAATGGCGAAAACAATATGTTACCTCTGGGAATACCTATTCGGTTTACAATAGCACAAGGCTGTGTAGGAATCTTAGCCTACTTGGAGGTTCAGACGGGAAAGAAAAACGTCTTCTTTGCAGATTTCCTAGGAAGACACTTGTTTGTTAAAATATAAATAATCTCACCTGGAAAGTTGAGTTTTACCTTCTGGAGGAGTCTCGCTCGTGGGACTTTGAACGATTTCAAACTTCTCGTGGTGACATTGTACCCACTGCAACAAGTTTTCCAACCCTTCTTTTACATCTTCGTTCCGTTTCACAAAGTCTTTATACCCAGCCCTGAGGTCGAAGTTTATATCACGCGGAGGACTAAAATACTTCAATTGTCTCTTATCATCGTGAAACCTTCTATGATCGTCTAAAGAGAAATGCCCTACTTCGATTGGTTGTCGATAAAAAGGAAGTCTTCCTCGAAAAGCATCCACAGGTTGGACTGCAAAGCTTTTCTGTGTTACAGAGCTATCTTTTCGAGTTTTCTTTGATGCTGCAGCCTCAGATACATCCGAACGACGTTTCATGTTGGACTGTTATTTAGAGTAAATTGAAAGCGCCTTTAAAGCGTCTTTCGGTTTCATTCGTCCACCATGTTGGAACACGGTGCGAATAGAATTCTGGTCTATCAAGATAGTTTGACTGTTCCGTTGTGTAAGCCTTTATTGAATGTCCCCGATTTCTGTCCGTAACTGATACTTCTCAGATTATATTCCAATAGTTCGTATGGAATGGTTCACGATTTTAGCTCAAATATTCCTTCAAATAACATAGCATTAAAAGAAAAAAGCAGTTTGATTGTGCAAAGGCCCTCCCAGGCCCCAGCTGGCAGATTTAGCAAAGGCTGTACTGCACTTCGAAAGGAGCCTATTAACAGGCTCCTGGCTGTGGCAAGAAACAGCTCCCTCAATTCAAGTTCTACTGACATGCGAATTCAGGAAAAATTTCAGAACTTAAAAGACTCATCAAAATTAGGTTGGGAATGGTGATGGTACCGACCTCAAGTAAGTGATAATTGGATCATGAAAGCACTGACTCCATACTGTTCTCTCTTCATTTTGTGGAGCTGGATGGAAAGGAGAATTTGTTTACTTCTCTAGTTGGTGATCAGTTTCTTCATCCACACAATCTTAATGTTTGATTCAGGGGTGACATTGTAAGGAGAACTAGATGTCAGTCACTCTTAGGGGTTAAAGGATTGAAAGGTCCTATTTTTCATTTTTAAGTAGCACTTTTAAAAATCAAAGGGCAAGAACTTTGGTAGTTGACCTTAATAGGGAATTTTTTATTGTGTAGAATATAACAGTAACTTTTTTTTCAAATTTTTTAACTGTTCCCTTCAATGTCATCATCTGAAGAAGAATCGTATGCAGAAATAAGTGAGATGCTTCCGAGTTCATCCTTCTTTTCCATAATTGTCTCATTCCCTGGACGTTTTGAATGTGACAGTTCATTTGCTCTGTTAAGTAACACCTGCTGTTTTGACCACTGAATAAGATCTGAAAGTGTCTTTGGTGGTGATTTACTCACTGTATTGTATCCTGATCCTTGATTAGTCTCAGTCAAGTGAGCTGCATGTACATCATACTTCATATCTGTGCCAGTGTTTGGCTCATAGTACTGATAATCTGTATCTGGATAGTAACCAATTGCCTCTCCACTCTCTTTAAGGTCATGATCAATGTTACGGCGTTTCTGTGGGAAAGAGTTATCCTTAACATTATCATGATGTGGAAGTCTGAGCGGTCCATCATAGTCTTGCAATATCGCAGAAGCAAGTCTCTCTTTGCTGTTCTCTATTTTACGCTTCTTAACCCACGGGTTTGGGTCTTCTGTGGCCCACCGTATATTCAAAATCTCTTTATTATCGAGAGCTTGACTTTGCATGGCCTCTTTGGCAAATTCGGCGTTGGAGCGGTTTTTGTAGCGAACAAACGCGACACCTTTTGACTGTAACACCCTAACGTTATCGATCTCTCCCCACTCTTTGAAGTGTCTATAAACAATCGATTGGAGGTCGGAAGTTACCGATATTCCACCGACATAAAGGGTCTTAGCAGTTTGTTCATCCGCAGAAAACGAACCA